AGCCTCTTCCTGGTCTCACTTCCTGACTTTCGACTCCTAGCCCACCTCCTCCCCCTGCAGGGCTTCATCTGCAATTAGGCCTCCCCAAAACCTGGCTCCGCTCCAGGTGCCCCACATAAGGTTAAGTGGCCTCTTCCAACCCCCATTAACGCCCTCAGGGCTGGTGTGAGGCGAACAACTCCTTGGTAAGCAGCTGGACATATCACTGAATATGTTTACATAAGGACAGGTCAGCAAGGCAACACCGATGCCAGTCAGCTTAGCAGCAATCTGACCCTGGCCTGTCCAAACTTCTTCACTGGACTTGCCCCTTGCTTGGGATGTTCCAATAGGACTCCCTTGTGCTAGGTGCTTACAAACACAGAAAGAAAGATGCTCCCTGCCCCATTGGGCTTCCACTATAAGTAACTGGATAAGGGTCCAGGTTCTCCATGGCCCTGCCCGTTGTGCAGTCAATTGACACCAGGGCGATGCAGGGGTATAGTGCCAACAAATTCAAATGAAGGTGTGGAGGGTGAATAGGCAGTGGAGGGGTTAACTAAGAACCAGCATGGTTTCGGATGCCCGACAGTCCATAAGACCTTTTTAGTTAATGCATCTGTCATAAATATAAAGGGAAGGGTAATCACCTTTCTGTATACAGTGCTATAAAATCCCTCCTGGCCAGAGGCAACATCCTGTTACCTGTAAAGGGTTAAGAAGCTCAGCTAACCCGTCTGGCACCTGACCCAAAGGACCAATAAGGGGACAAGATACTTTCAAATCTTGGGGTGGGGGAAGGCTTTTGTTTGTGCTCTTTGTTTATGTGGTTGTTCTCTCTTGGGACTGAGAGAGGCCAGACAGAAATCCATCTTCTGCAACCCATCCCAATCCAAGTCTCCAATATTGCAACCGGTATAGGTAAGCCAGGCAAGGCAGATTAGTTTATCTTTTGTTTTATGTGAATTTTCCCTGTGTTAAGAGGGAGGTTTATTCCTGTTTTCTGTAACTTTAAGGTTTTGCCCAGAGGGGGATCCTCTGTGTTTTGAATCTGAATACCCTGTAAAGTATTTTCCATCCTGATTTTACAGAGGTGATTCTTTTACCTTTTCTTTAATTAAAATTCTTCTTTTAAGAACCTGATTGATTTTTCATTGTTCTTAAGATCCAAGGGTTTGGGTCTGTGTTCACCTGTACAAATTGCTGAGGATTATTATCAAGCCTTCTCCAGGAAAGGGGGTGTGTAGGGCTTGGTGAGATATTTGGGGAAAGACATCTCCAAGTAGTCTCTTTCCCTGTTCTTTGTTTAAAACGCTTGGTGGTGGCAGTATACTGTTCAAGGACAAGGCAAAGTTTATACCTTGGGGAAGTTTTTAACCTAAGCTGGTAAAAGTAAGCTTAGGGGGTCTTTCATGCGGGTCCCCACATCTGTACCCTAGAGTTCAGAGTGGGGAAGAAACCTTGACAGCATCTAGTGAAGATCCTGCAAATTCAGGCCTAACATGGCAGCCACATGGCCCGTGCCCAACCCCTGGGACTTTTGTCCTCCAGACTCCGCGACATCCTTCTGGTGACTCATCCCCCGCGCCAGCAAACTCCTGATTTAGACAGGCCCCCTGTTTACACAGAGCAGCAGTAAGGCACTCGGGGGGTGTTTACGTTCCTTTGTCTGTCCGCACATTCTGAAGGCATGAGCTGTCTCTTCCTTTCCATGCTGCCAGGAGACGTTTCTTTTCTCTGCCATCTGCCTTGTGGCTCTCCACACTCCTTGCAGACACCACACACAACGAAAGGAAAACAAACTGCTCCATCGGGTGGGGAAACCCTCATTCCTTCTGCTGGTTCTCCTCTGCGGGAACTCTAGTCTGTGCTACATAGGTTCTTTCACGGCGCTCATTCTCCTAGTGTCTCCCTATCCAGTCCAACGGGAAAGACTGTAGCTAGATCAAGCTTCTACAGCAGCTACAAATCATCATCCACACCTGGCAGAGAAAGGCAGCGTGGCTAGTATCGCACGGCATCACGGCAGACTGCAGGGTGCAATCCGCTCAGCCTGCAAGGGCTCAGGCGCGAGCCACCTTACACCCACCTACAGGAGACTAATGAGGCATGACTCCCCCCTGCTCTCCTGCACGGGCTACCTGCATTGGTGGGCTGTGCACATGGGAGCCCACTGCTCACTCACCTGAACAGAACAGCTGGCATTGCTCAGAGGGGGAAGGTAGCTTCACCAGGTAGAGGACGGGCATAGCATCCTCCCCACACACACCCCTATGGAGCAAGGGGGAAGTGACTCTCTGGACCGCGGTTTGGTCCTTGTTCTGCTCATGGAGCGGCAGAGGTACAGGCCGGCCCATGCTCATGGCTCACAGGGGCTCTGGGATCTAGCGCCAGGAAACGAAGGCAGGCTGCAGTGGAGGAGAGAGGAAGACGGAAGAACTGCCCGGGACAAAACAAACGGGTTCCTTCCCCGTGAGAACGGGAGTCACTGGTGGTGTCTCCTCTTGCAAAAGGCAGCTCCCGGGGCCTGCTCATCTGCAGGTCCCTGGCTCATCCCTGACTCCTTTGGCTGGAGCAGAAGGCACAAGTGAGACGTGCTGTGGCAAGATGTACTGTGAGCTGCCCTTAGCAGCATCAGTGGCCTTTGAGGGAGGCAGGGCAGAGGGTGGAGCTGGGAGAGTTGTCTCTGAAGTTAAGGCCTGGGTAGGAGCTGGAGGCAGGGCCTGGAAATAGGGGATAATAGTGCTCTCAATGCATCCCCTCTTCCCTCCCTTGAGCCAGGATCTAGACCCGCTCTGTGTGTTCAGAATCCAGACGGGCTCCCAACCTGCATGGAGCGGCCCAGAGCGAGTGCCTGAAATCCAAGCACTCCCAAAATGCAGTGGGAGGCCCTCTCCTTCAAGGATATCCCTGTTTTCCGGGGACAAGCCCCGTATTTCATATGAGGTTCCTGTGTCCCAGGATCTCCCTCTGCAGCAGCCAGACTGTCCTGGTTTTTCATTTCCCCAGCCACAATGCCTGAGTTTGGCTTTTTTAAATAATCACAAAACGTGCACTCCAGGGCGATGGCTGCACCGAGGAGAACACACTCTATGCTTGCTAGGGAGAAAGAGCCCGGCGGAGCCAGCGTCCGGCCTGGGTTTGGGAGAAGCAACATGCCGAATGAGCACAGAAATGATCGGTGCCATTCGTTTGCTCAGAGTGAACGTTAATGACACCTGCTCCCTGTTTCCTGATAAAAATCACACAGACCATCAAGGGCTTGTCTACATGGGGAAATTGAGCAGAATAGCTATTGTGGAACAGCACCCCCATGTGGACACTCATTCCTTGTTCTGATTTAGCTCGATCCAATTTGGAAGTGGATTAACTGGAAAAAGGCACTCTGACTTTGGATTAAGTGTGTCCGTAGAGGCAGTTATTCTGAGCTAGTTTATATTGCTTTAACTTCCCCATGTAGACAACCCCTCCATTCCTGGGAAAAAACCCTCCCCTCGCAGAAATACATCCACGTTGCCCTTGAGTCCGAAGCTAGCAGTAGCTACTCCAACACGTGGGGGGTTTTTAAAGTGTACTTTCATAGGATTACGTCACAACCCTGAAAAATGCGACCAGTTTGTGAGTTTGAAAACAGGGTCCCTTCCGCCCACAAGTCTGAAGTATCCTTATTACTGCAGAAATTCCCCATTTCTGGACTAAAGGAAGGTCAGAAGTGGGGGGGCGGGAAGCTGAACTGGCCTCAGACATTGCCATGTGGCGATTCCACTGGAATTCCTCTCCTAGCAAATCCGGGGCCAGGCTCTGTTCACTGTTACTCTTGGCTAGGATCTGCAAAGAGGCCAAAGGGATTTAGATGCATAGCTCTTGTTGGAATTCACTAGGAGTTGGGAGTCCCACCCCCTGAAGTTCCATTGAAAATCCAAGCCTGTGATTTCATAGGGGAGGGTCTGACTAACAGAGAACTGAGTTTGGTTTCCCAGCTTTACTGGTACTTCGTTCCCACTCCTCCAGCTACCAGTAGCAATGTGTGACTAAGAACAACCCTAATGTTGCTGGGGTGAGGATTACAGACTTGTCCCTCGCTTCTTTGCAATGTAACCCTTCTCTTGTGTGGGCTGGGTTTCAATCCTGCCTAGGGCCAGGTAGGAAAACCATTCCTTTATCAGCTCTAATTATGACAGCAGCCCACAGACAATGTAGCTGGGTAGATCCATGGTCAGGGGACTGGTGATAGGACTGTCTGTGCCCGCGGAACTCCTTGCTGGAAGAGATCAGGCGGAGCCCAAGAGTTGTGGTGTTCAGATCAAGACACCTGTTTGCTACAGTCGTCCCCCAGGAGCAATGCTATCTTCTCCCCCAACTCACACATGCAAACCCTACACACACAAGTCACACTGCTCTATTCCACGACCTTGGAGGAACACTACTAGGGAAACACCTTGTGGCTCTGGGCTTTTGTGCATCTGAATGTAGGTATTATTGTACTAGATGCTCACTGACACCCCACCCAAATGTCAGGCTGTGATTCATAGCGAAAGGCCTGGCTCTCACTTACACTGAGGCCCCTTTACACTGCCCTGGCCATAAATTACATACACTCGTTTTAAGGTCTCTTTATATTGCCAGAGCAGTGGAAAAGAGCCAGAGGATCTGCCTACATAGGAAAAGCCATGCACAAGCCAGCTTCCTTGAGCTAGGCTGAATCCAAGTAGCTGGGTAACACAAGCAGTAAAGATAGGGCAGCAGGGCTAGCGAGAAAAAGACATAACCAGAGCCTTATCAGGCTCTTACGGCTTGCCCCGAAACCCCATGCTGCATGGTCTTCTCTGCTAGTGTTACCCGAGCTAGCTGGATTCAAGCTCACTCGGCAGGGGTAGCCCGTGCATGTGTAAATGGCCCCCTCCAGTGTGAATGGGAATCAGCCCCATCAACTCTTAGGACCGGATCTTCCAAAGAGCCCAGCTGGGAGATGCTAGGAGCTGGCCTCTTTCAGAACCTCGCCCTTTCGTTTAGGCACTTACGTGAAAGTTGCAGGGTTCTGAGATCTCTTCATTCCAGCGCCTGCTCCCTTGGTTAATGTTCAGCAGAAGCGGTTTCGAGTTTCCATTTCGTCCAGAAGTGTTTCAGCCAGGGCTAGTCCTGGATAGACCCCATTCAGGGAATTTCGCAAAGACTTATCCAGCCGCATATTAATCTCTGCAAAATAAAATAAAATTAAATAAAATAAAAAATCTTGCTAATGCTGGAAAATGCAGGTCACCGCCAGCCGAGACAGAACAAACTCAAAGAAACTTGCAGCGGAAAAGCAGTGTCTTGCCTTGAATAAGTATCCATAATTTATAGCCACTGGGTCTGCTCTGGGTAGCTACTGGCAGCATACCTACGTCAGTGCCAGAGGATCATCTATGGAGACGTCTGAGATATTTGAATAACACAGACATCCAGGTCTGAAAGCATAAAACCACTTCTAAGGTTAAAACGGAGTTTCAGATTGTCAACTGCAGTCAATCAAAACCAGGTCTAGCTATGCTTTGTATGTGTGGGGTTTTTACATGAATTCTCTACCCAGACAGGGGCCGGATTCGAATCTAATTGGCACCAGTGAAAGGGGCTAGTCCTGCAGCACTGAAGTCTAAGGGAGTTTTGCCAATGTCCACAGCGGGAGCAAAGTCAGGCTTTAAATCAGCTGATTTCAATCAAAGTTACAGGAGTTCAACACTAACGTGATTCCTCTGGGCCCCATTGCTCATTGTCCTGCACCTTGTGTAGTCATTTCCACCCACGCAAAGTGCGTGTGAAAGGCTACCAAAGCAGAATACATTTTACCCTGTTGTGAATAATTGTGCAAGGTGCAGGACGATGGTGAATTGGCCCCACTGGAGTTACATTAGTGTAAAACTTGTATAACTTTTATCAGCATCAGATCCAGGGGCTCTTCGGTTTTCTCTGAAAATTTCTAATTAAAAAAGCGAATCTCATTCTGGGATGTATTAGCAGGAGTATTGTCAGCAAGACGCGAGAAGTAATTCTTCCACTCTAATCCCCTCTGATTAGGCCTCAGCTGGAGTGTTGTGTCCAGTTCTGGGCGCCACATTTCAGGAAAGATGTGGACAAACTGGAGAAAGTCCAGAGAGGAGCAACAAAAATGATGAAAGGTCTAGAAAACATGAGCTGTGAGGGAAGCTTGAAAAAACTGGGTTTGTTTAGTCTGGAAAAGAGAAGACTGAGAGGGGACATGATAACAATTTTCAAGTACATAAAAGGTTGTTACAAGGAGGAGGGAGAAAAAATTGTTCTTCTTAACCTCTGAGGATAGGACAAGAAGCAATGGGCTTAAATTGCAGCCAGGGAGGTTGAGGCTGGACATTAGGAAAAACTTCCTAACAGTCAGGGTGGTTAAGCACTGGAATAAATTGCCTAGGGAGGTTGTGGAATCTCCATCACTGAGGATTTTTAAGAGCAGGTTAGACAAACACCTGTCAGGGATAGTCTAGATAATACTTAGTCCTGCCAGGAGTGTAGGAGACTGGACTAGAAGACCTCTCGATGTCCCTTCCAGTCCTATGATTCTATAAATAAAACCATCCTTTCATTGCTTGCAATGTGAAGTTTGCATGGTGCATTCTTTAGGATGTTTCTCCTATCTTTTTTGGCCACTGAAGAGCATTTGGTTACTTTGTGAAATGGACAGAGAGCTCTGCGGTAGGAGATATCATTTTACCCTTTTTTAATTATTTATTGTTTAGGGGCCAGATCCTCAGCTGTGAACGCCCCGACAGCAAATTGGGGCGTGCCAAGTGAGCACCTGTGAACGTTCCTGACTGCAAAAGAATTGTGCCAAGTGACATCAGCCGAGGGCATGGCTCTCCAGCTGGTTAAAATACATCCTGGTCCTTGCTTCAAAGCAGTCTTAAGAAACAGAGCAACTCTTTCGAAGAATCAGCCTTTTTGCTGAATTCATTGTTCAGTTCCTCCCATAAAATACTCACCAAAAGGTCTGCCAGAGCTCTGGGAGTTCCCCATTCCCCATTCCAGTCAGTCCTATACAGTCCTCAGACAGCAAAATCCTTCCGGGTTTCATTTCCTTGAATCATAGCACTTCCATGCCCATGACCTCCACAGGCCTTGAACAGACTTTCCTGCCCATGCCAATAGATCAAAATGGCCTTTTTGTTTGTTTGGTTTTTTGTTTCTTTGATCCCCTAAGCTAACATGAGCTCTCGTGTAAGTTTAGTCTTTGGGAACTTGATCTAGGCAATTGCTCAAAAAAGTCTAAACAGATACATCAGTAAAGCAAGAACATTCAAACATTACCTGCTCCTTTCACACTGTGAGGATGGTCTCCCCAGACGTAATTTACCCCAGACGTCCTTTTTAGAGACCACTCAAAGGAAACAGACATTTGTTAATGCTTATCCAACAAAAAATTAACTTACCTTTCGTTTCCCCCAGCTTTCTTTGCCCCTTATCTTCAGATCCACTCTGGATTTTGGTTGGTTGGCTGGCTGGCTTTTTTCCTGCCTTACATGCGATGCAACTCACAGTTTTGACAATTCAGGGCAGGCACCAGTCCCTTCCATGACTGCTGAAGCCAGACTAGGATTTAGGGAGACACAGGCAGCAGCAGCTGGGAGCTAGAGACCTGGAGTCAACCAGAAGGTTTCATAGAATCATAGAATCATAGAATATCAGGGTTGGAAGGGACCTCAGGAGGTCATCTAGTCTAACCCCCTGCTCAAAGCAGGACCAATCCCCAACTAAATCATCCCAGCCAGGGCTTTGTCAAGTCTGACCTTAAAAACTTCTAAGGAAGGAGATTCCACCACCTCCCTAGGTAACCCATTCCAGTGCTTCACCACCCTCCTAGGGAAAAAGTTTTTCCTAATATCCAACCTAAACCTCCCCCACTGAAACTTGAGACCATTACTCCTCGTTCTGTCACCTGCTACCCCTGAGAACAGTCTAGATCCATCCTCTTTGGAACCCCCCTTTCAGGTAGTTGAAAGCAGCTATCAAATGTCTGTGCCCAGCAGCCTCAATGGAAAATAATCCCTCTTTGATTCACTGTGGCTATCCCAAGAGACAGTTGAGCCTTTCCTGGTGCTGATCCTTTTCGGTGCTGGAAGAGTTATTACTGGGAGACGGGGAAAGGGATCTCACCAGACGCGCCAACTTTCTAATGTGCTGGGGGGGTGCTCGACTCCCGCTCTGCTCCAGGCCCTGCCCCAACTCCACCCCTTCCCCCAAGGTCCCACCCCCACCCTGCCTCTTTCTGCCCCCACCTCTTCCTACCCCTGCTCTGGTTACATGTGGGTTTTTCAGATTTATGAAGGTGTGACGGGGTTCTAGGAATGCAGCCTGGACTGTGGGACCACAGAGCCCTCCATCCCACCAACCTGGAGTATCCCTCTCATTCTGTGATGCTGTTTGCAAGCTACAAACCTCTGAGAGGTGCTGCACTTACACAGACATCCGCAGGCTGGGACACACTCAACTGAGTTACACGAATGCTTTGCCAGCCACTCATGAACCAACAGGAGAGAAGCTCCAGCCAATTCCCCCCAGCTCTGCAGCCTTGCACCCCAAAACTGTACTGCCTTGCCCTGGTCAGAAGCCTGGCCAGTGTAAGTTCATTACCCAGTCCGCCCCTCCCTCGATGTGGAGAGGACACACACCAGCCTTTGTAATGTGAGCTGAGATTTCCCAAGCACTTCAATCAAAGCACACTGGTTTTGGTAAAATATAAACAGATTTATAAACTACAGAAAGATGGATTTTAAGTGATTATAAGTAGCAAGCATAGAGATCAAAGTTGGTTACCCAAGAAATAAACACAAAGTCACAGTCTGAGTTCTACAAACTAAATAGGATTTGAATCAAGCCATGGTTCACCCTGACAGATAGCACAAACAGGTGACAAGTATCATGGGGTAGACGTGTTAGTCTGTATCCACAAAAACAACAAGGAGTCCAGTGGCACCTTAAAGACTAACAGATTTATTTGGACATAAGCTTTCGTGGGTAAAAAACCCACTTCTTCAGATGCATGCATCTGTTAGTCTTTAAGGTGCCACCAGACTCCTTGTTGTTTTAAACAGGTGACAGATACTCAATACACAGACTGGAACTGCCTTCCAGCCCGGGACCACCCTCCCCCAGTTCAAAGTCTTTGTCCTCTAGACGTGTTTCCAGGTGTTGAGTTGTGGAGGGAGTGAGGCCAAGTCATGATTCATAGATAGATTCATAGATATTTAGGTCAGAAGGGACCATTATGATCATCTAGTCTGACCTATCATAGAATCATAGAATATCAGGGTTGGAAGGGACCCCAGAAGGTCATCTAGTCCAACCCCCTGCTCGAAGCAGGACCAATTCCCAGTTAAATCATCCCAGCCAGGGCTTTGTCAAGCCTGACCTTAAAAACCTCTAAGGAAGGAGATTCTACCACCTCCCTAGGTAACGCATTCCAGTGTTTCACCACCCTCTTAGTGAAAAAGTTTTTCCTAATATCCAATCTAAACCTCCCCCACTGAAACTTGAGACCATTACTCCTCGTTCTGTCATCTGCTACCATTGAGAACAGTCTAGAGCCATCCTCTTTGGAACCCCCTTTCAGGTAGTTGAAAGCAGCTATCAAATCCCCCTCATTCTTCTCTTCTGCAGGCTAAACAATCCCAGCTCCCTCAGCCTCTCCTCATAACTCATGTGTTCCAGACCCCTAATCATTTTTGTTGCCCTTCGCTGGACTCTCTCCAATTTGTTCACATCCTTCTTGAAGTGTGGGGCCCAAAACTGGACACAGTACTCCAGATGAGGCACCAATGTCGAATAGAGGGGAACGATCACATCCCTCGATCTGCTCGCTATGCCCCTACTTATACATCCCAAAATGCCATTGGCCTTCTTGGCAACAAGGGCACACTGCTGACTCATATCCAGCTTCTCGTCCACTGTCACCCCTAGGTCCTTTTCCGCAGAACTGCTGCCTAGCCATTCGGTCCCTAGTCTGTAGCTGTGCATTGGGTTCTTCCGTCCTAAGTGCAGGACCCTGCACTTGTCCTTATTGAACCTCATCAGATTTCTTTTGGCCCAATCCTCCAATTTGTCTAGGTCCTTCTGTATCCTATCCCTCCCCTCCAGCGTATCTACCACTCCTCCCAGTTTAGTATCATCCGCAAATTTGCTGAGA